TCCTGAGCTATAATCCAGTGCTATAGTTATTTATTTGGTTGTTCAAATTGTTCCAGCTTTGTCCATTAAAGTTCTTTCAGTTTGGCTCCTCTGTCCCTTGGATATAATACACCTCCCTCTTTGTCTCTTTTTAAGCACTTCCTTAATATCTAGCACTAGTAAGATGCTCCAGGCTCATCTTGCACTTTCCATGCCTCTGTCCTAAAATCAGCCAATTATCCAAGACGTCCTGTTTTCCTTCATGGGAGAATGGTGCTAGAAGTAAGATGTGAGTCCTGAGTGTGCTCATCATTACTGAGTGTCACATTTTCTAGGTCCCCTCAAAAGATGAAGTTAAGAAATAGATATGTATACACCAAATACAAATATCATCATTTATTTCTCTATCGAAGCTACAAGACACATACGTATACACATTCAATAGATGTAATGAAGATACATCTATTAAACATATGAAAGATAGGGAAAATATAGGTACGTGTGTATACATGTATATATGTATACGTGTGTATGCATGTGTGGACCTATCTGACGTTAGATGATAGATAGATAGATAGATAGATGATAGATAGATAGATAGATAGATAGGATCCCTGGGTGGCTCAGTGGTTTTGTGCCTGCATTTGGCTCAGGGCGTGATCCTGGAGTACTGGGATCGAGCCTTGCATCGGGCTCCCGGCATGGAACCTACTTCTCCCTCTGCCTGTGTCTCTGCCTCTCTCTCTCTCTCTCTCTCTCTCTCTCTCTCTCTCACTATGTCTATCATAAATAAAAATAAATCTTTAAAAAAAGATAGATAGATAGATAGATAGATAGATAGATAGATAGATAGATAGACATAGATAGATAATCTCTGACTCTAATCCAGCACCACAGGGTTCATTCTAGATTTCTTCTTTTGCTTATTTGTAACTTCCTCCTCTGACAGTGTAAAATATGGCCCCCATTATTCATAATTTACTTATTCATTTGTTTAATCTGAATATACGTGTAAAAAAGTTTTAGAATTGCTAGCTCTTACTCCTGTAGGAAACTAATCTACTGACTACTGTATAGTGTCAATACCCAGATCTTTTTGTCCTTAGACTCAAAGATCCAGTGAAAACACCGGTTTCGAAAATTTTCTAGATCAGTAACTCTTTTTTCCACTCCCTTTAATGCGGTTATCTCCCACATTTGCAATACAGTTAGATTTGTCACAATCTGCATTACATCCTGGGATCCCCCAACATCCTGGTTGATTTTTAAGAATTTGCATACAACAAAGTTCCCTCTTCGTGGTGCACAGTTCAATGGATTTTGACAAATTCATAGAATCATGTATTGACTAACCCAGTACCATAGAGAATAGTTTCATTGACCTAAAATGTCCCTTGTGCATTCCCATTGTAGTCAATCCCAGGCTAAATCCTTGGCAGCCACTAATCTGTTTTCAATCCCATAGTTTTTTGCCTTTTTCATAATGTCACATAAGTGAAATCCTGTAATATAAAGGCTTTTGAGTTGTTTCTTTTATTAAGCAAAATACTCTTGAGGCTTATCCATGTTGTGGGAATCAATAACTCATTCCTTTTTATTGCAGAGTAGTATTCCGCTGAATAGATATGCCAAGTTTTTTTATAGATTCTCCTGTTGAAGGACATCTGGTTGCCTGCAGTGTTTAGTGATTATGAATAGTTGTTATAAATGTAGTTAACTTGTTTTCAGGTGAACAGAAGTTTTCAATTCACTTGGATAAATACCAAAAATGTTATTGTTGATGTGATTGGAAAGTCTATGTTTAACTTTGTCAGAAACGCCAAACTGTTTTCCAAAATGAGTATATAATTTTGCCTTCCACCATGGATGAATGAGACTCCTCACTTATCTACAGCTTTTTTTTTAATTTTTTTTATTATTTATTTATGATAGTCACAGAGAGAGAGAGGCAGAGACACAGGCAGAGGGAGAAGCAGGCTCTATGCACCGGGAGCCTGATGTGGGATTCGATCCCGGGTCTCCAGGATCGCGCCCTGGGCCAAAGGCAGGTGCCAAACTGCTGCGCCACCCAGGGATCCCTATCTACAGCTTTATCATCATTTTGTATTGTCTTACTGATTTTAGTTATACTAAGAGATGTGAGTGGTGTTCCATTTTGGTTTCAGTTTATACTTCCCTAATGACAAAAGATGTTGACCATCTTTCTTTATGATTTTTGCCATCTTCATGTTTTCTCTAATGAAATACCTTTTCACATCACTTGCCTATGTTTTAATTGAGTTGTTTTGTTGATCTCATTAAAAATACATTATTAATAATAACAAATTATAACAAGACATTTTGTACTATAATACAATTTACAATGTAATTTTAAATGAAACTTTAAATTTCACCCCATCTCATCCTTTTTTCAAATTTTAGTTTTGTGTATGTTTATAATTTATGTAACATTAGCACAGAAGAACATGAGTGTGACTTATAATTTGATATATACCTCCTGGAGGTACATGCTCAAATTTCTTTATTGATGGGATTTGTGATCAAGTTTGGAGACTGTTGCCTAAGAGAGAAGGTTGCACTTGGATGGGAAGTCCTGGCTGAGTTGAGTGGTGAGGAGTGCTGCTGGGGAGGAGGAAGAAAAAAGAGAGGTAAGGAAGACCCAGAATGCAGTCATCACCCAAGTACCAAGAAATAGGATTCTAGAATCTCTAGGCTGTTGAGAACAAGAGTTGAGAATTCTCTCTCTAAGGCTCTGAAGAAAGGTTTCCGGTTGAAGACAGATCGCTTGTGCCTTATAAGAATCAGAAATGGCTTCATGGGGTGCAGGAAGCTCATGTGAGCTGCCAGTTACTGATTGAGTAAGTAGAGCGGTATTCCTTTCACAGAATCACCTGAGCGGGGTCTCTGGGGTAGACACCAGGAATCTGCCTTTTTGATAAGACCTAAAGTATTCCAATGAAGCCACCTGTCCCAAGGAACAAGCAATGGCAACCTCCAGCTTGAAGGACAACAAACATTGTGCTTGGGGCTACCACTGCTGTGGGGTCTTGTTTTGTTTGCTACCAGTATGGTTCTAAGACAAGGGATGGAAACCAACTTAATTTGTAAGCTCTGCATAGTAAGCCTCATGTGTCTCCCTCTCAGTGCCTGGCATACACCTCACTGCTGTAGATCAGGAACTGTTGCTGAAAAGGCACAGATAATCAGGATTTTAAACTTTGTGATCCATATGGTCTCCAACACAACCGTTCAGTCCTGTGAAAAGCAGCCATACTCTATTGCTGAGTAGGCGTAGCTATATTCCAATAAAACTTCACTTAAGAAAGCAAGCCTGGTTTGCTGACCCTTGCTATTCACCAGTATGTACTCTACATATTCTAGACAACATGTTATTTTATTGCTTAGTTACTTTAAAGACCCCATAGAGATTCTTCTCTGCCCTTTCTGAATACTCAGGCCTGTGTTTAGCCTCACCTTTCTTTCAACTGGAGAATGTAACTCTAAGAGAGGAAACTAATAGCTTTAGAAATTTCAAGGCAGGGATCCCTGGGTGGCGCAGCGGTTTAGCGCCTGCCTTTGGCCCAGGGCGTGATCCTGGAGACCCGGATCGAATCCCACGTCGGGCTCCCGGTGCATGGAGCCTGCTTCTCCCTCTGCCTATGTCTCTGCCTCTCTCTCTCTCTCTCTGTGTGACTATCATAAATAAATAAAAATAAAAATAATTTAATATATTAAAAAAAAGAAATTTCAAGGCAGATGCAGAAAATGATGCTGGATGAAAATATGTATGAATATCATATGCAGTATCAGAAATGTCACTCCACTCCTATCCCATCAAGGTTGCCGTATTTGGGTAAGACATTGCTTCAAGAGAAGAAACACTTCTAGAAAGCCAATAGCCAACAAGGCATGGAACACTCTGCCACTTAGTTTATAAGTGGGAACCACTTTAAGTGATTCAATGGGGGTCTCTTTATGGCCTCTGTATTCCCACCACCACCATTCCCTCCTCTCATGACCCATGGTCATCTGTCTCCTCTTGCTCATCAGTCAGTATCATGAGTTTTTAGGGGCCCTCATAAAGTAGTGATGGAGGAGCTCAGGAAAACATTGCATTTGCAATATAACACTGATATTTTTGAAAAAAAAATCCTTCCACATTTGGAACAGTATTAAGAGAATGGAAGAAAGATAAAGTGCTAAATTATCTTGCTTCAATAAACACTCAAATAATAAATCTTAATGTTGTCCATTCAGATCCATGTGTATTTCATCTCTGGTTGAAATGGGGAGGGTGTATTTCCACATACATAGGGAATGCTTAATTCTTTGTACTCTGTTTTTTTCTATTCATAGAATTAAATGGGAATCCTGGAAGTGTATTGCCCTCTGTGGTTTCTAACTGAACATCAATAAAGGAGGGATCATTTCTTTGCTTACCTGATCCTGAGAACATAATAGCATTTACGTGAAAGTGCCCATGTAGAAAACTATCATTCCCTCCTTGCATTGTATATTCCTGTACTTTGTTTTTCCCCATGCTGGTTCTGAATGATGAAAAGAAACAAGAAGTGGAGGGATGGGCAAAATGGATGAAGGGGAGAGGGAGACACAGGCTTCCAGGTATGGAATGAATAAGTCACAGGAATAAAAGACACAGCAAAGAGAGTATAGTCAACGATAATGTAATAGTGTTGTATGGTGACAGATGGTCGCCGCACTTGTGGTAAACATGGCATAATGTATAAACGTATAACTTGTCAAATTACCATGTTGTACACCTGAAACTAATATAACACTATCAATTATAATCAAATAAAGAAGTTTCTAAAATTTAAAATTGAAAATAAAAGTAAAATAAAAAATAAAAGTAACAGAAAACATCTAGGCAGGGCTACCCACAACCGTGGTATATTTTTAAGTTCTCAGTAGCAACAGACTTAATCTCAGGACTCAGGACAAGGCAAAATTGTTTGACCTACTCTGATCTTTGACAGGTTCTGCCTCCAACAGATCTGGAGATGAAGGCTGCCGGCATCTTGGCCCTGATTGGCTGTCTGATCATGGTCACTGAGCCCAAAATCTACACTCGCTGTAAACTGGCAAAAATATTTTCGAGGGCTGGCCTGGACAATTACCAGGGTTTTAGCCTTGGAAACTGTGAGATTTCTCCTTTCCTGTTCTTTTTCTACCTTTGATACACCCTCTGAGATGTCAAAATTTCCCCACACCCCCAGCTTTGGTTTGTCCCCAGCTCTTCCATGCTCTGCCCCACCAGGGATGCCCCTGCTAGGTACCCACATGTTCTCTTCAAATGATGCACTCTAGGGTACCTCTCTCCCTCCCTACCCTCATGTCCTCACTCCTGAAGTCCTGTACAAATGACACCAGCAAGGGAAGGAGAAAACAATGCCTCCCTTGCTGGTGGGGTAGGGGCAGACCTGACTTCTGGTCTCGTACAGGTGCAGCCACTGACTAGGTGTGCAGCTTCAGAAGTGCCCCATGGGTGTGCTACTTGCCCTGTCCCTCCCCAAAGTCTGTTGGGACCGCAGCATTATTGTAATGTATATAAGGGAACTCTCCTCTAAGAGCAGAGTTGGAGGAAAAAAATGCATTTCTTTTACTGGCATTTCTGGCTTTTTCCCCCTCTAGGGATCTGCATGGCATACTATGAGAGCCGCTACAATACAACAGCTGAGACCCAGCTGGAGGATGGAAGCATTGACTATGGCATTTTTCAGATAAATAGTTTCACGTGGTGCAGACGTGCTAAGCTACAAGAGAAGAACCACTGTCACGTTGCCTGCTCAGGTACGGTTTTGGTTTTCCAAAAATAATGTCCTCAAGGATAAAAGCAGGAAAGTTGATAGTGGAATATCCACCCATTTTCTGCTTTAACAAAAACTTGGAGTTCAGATGTGCAAGTAGGTCTATACCACGCCAATAAATTATTCGACAGTTCCCCAGGGTGACATTCAGAGTCCTGTGGCCTACTTGCCCAAAGATGACTTATTCCTTCTAGGATGGTTTTTATGAAACAACCATGAAAGCAGAGGGGTAGACAAATGACCTTACTCTCTTTTCATGCAGAGACATTAAATATGTTTGATAAGAAGGAGAAATCTGTTTGCCAACTGCTTTCCATAAGCAATTTACTTAGACTATGCATTTATGCTTCTTTATACAGAATGATACAAATAAATACACTTAAATTTCTTAAACAGTAGAAATTAAGCTAGAATTCACTTCCAAGGCTTCTACTTCAATCATCTATGTGCACAGAATTGAGGCTGGCAGAAAACATCAGACACACATATATATGAAAGAGAATATATGCTTTATGGAGTTAGATGACTATAAACAGGTATAGGCTGAGTGTTAAGAACTTCAGAGGGCAGAGACATTCATTGATAAAGTCATGGAGAGTCTTGCAGACACAATGATACTTAATCTAAGACTTGGAAGATAGGTAAGATTTGGACATTTAGAGATGGGGAAGAGTCAGTCTGGATAAAGGAAACAGCAAAAGCCAAAAGGTTATATGTGGGAAGTAGGTATGAGGCATGCACAGGGAGCAGTGAGATATTTGTGTTATCTGGAACAAAGAGGATGTGAAGACAAATAACAGGACATAGGGTTGGAGAGATTGATTACTACCTGACTATGAAGGACCTGGGAAGCCAGGTAGGACTTATATACTGATTTCTGCCTGCAATAAGATTATCAGCAGAGGTCAGTTGATTAAGCATTGCTCCAGAATGATTAATGTGCAAACAGAGTATGATATATTGCCATTGCAAGTGTTGAGGTGAGAGACGGAAAGACCTGAATGATGATCATGTCTGGAGGCATGGAGAACATGCAAGAGATACTCAACAGATCCTACCCCTCTCTCTACAAAGTAAGCTCCATGAGGGCAGGGGTTTTCTGTTTTGTTCACTGATATATCCTTAATGCTTGGCCATAGTTTTGGGGTTCAATAAATATTCATGGAATAAATGAATGGAGGGAATGAGGAGCAAGGATGAAAATAAAAATTTCTAAGGTATTCTGTGGCAAACTCCTTAGGAACAGGAAATAAACTTTTAATCTCTGACACATACAGGATAACCAGTACATATGTTTGAATGCATGAATGATTGAACAATATGTTAATTTTCTTGCAAATTGTCTCTAAACCTACATTACAAGAGAATGCTAACTCCTGAAGCAGATCACACAATTATGGACCAATTCCTAATTTAGAACATTTTTTTGTTGAATCAAAATCCACCTCTTTACAGCTTTCTTCTGTTAATTCTAGTTTTTCCTCTTGGATTTATTCAGAACAAATTTGCTCAACTTTATACATAGAAACTTATAAAATGCTTGAAAAAGACTAGTAGATATTTCTCATCTTTAATTTCTTCTGGGTAAAAACTTCAGTATCTTCACCTTCTACAGGTATGACTTTTAAATCCCTCCCCATCCATGGTCAATATCATTAGCATTCCCAAGAGCTTGCTGATGGAGTCTTCCAGTTAAACACAGCAACTGGACATGTATGTTTTTAGAAGCTGAAGAACAGGAGGACAAGTCCTGGCTAATTTAGTAATTAGAGAAATTTGAGTCCTAAACTGACAGTGGGAAAGCCAAGAAGCAACCATAGGGTCCTAAAAGGGCTCAGAAATCAGCAGAGTCAGCTCATTCTGGAAACTGGAATGAAAGTAGGTAGAAAATAGGAGGACCAATTAGAAGTCCAATTAAGGAAAAGCTAGGCCATCAGATTCCCTTCCTGACTCCATTCAGCTACTGACTGCTTCTCCTCAATCCTGGCAGGATACTGGAGCTTTCCCTTCTGGACAGAGTGAGTATTCAGCAACCTGTAGATGTGAGAGTTCTATAGTGAAGACACAGGAGATTAAATTCAAGTTTCCATAGTCTTAGTCAGTTTCCTCCACTTAGATCCTAGAATGATGGAAGCCAGGCTAGACTCTCCAAAAGAGAAGATTCTGTTCTGGAAAATTCAGACAGGCGAAAAGGAAATAACTAACGATTCTGAGAAGGAGCTCTCCATGAAGTCTCCAGACTTCTCTATAGGGAGATACACAGTTGAGAATCTCCATATCTGTGTACAGAACTCCTAATCAGTTTTTTTTTTTTAGTCTCTCTTTCTTAAATAAGTGCAGATAACCAAGGATCACCAGGCTTCATAGAAGAGTCATTAACATGAAAGAATGAGGCAAAATACAACAAAAACTAAACAAAACAAAAACCAAAATCAGATAGAAGGCACTTGTCAAAAGCAGATATACAGGGAAATGAAAATTTCGAATGAAAAAAGAAACTATCATTGATATCTTCATATTAATAGCATGTCATATCAATGAAATAAGGGGATGCTTTATAAAAAGTATTTAGAGAACAGCTCTTGGAAATTCAAAATATGATTGCAGAAACAAAAACCTCGATAGGTTGGAAGATAAGATTAAGGAAATCTTTCTAAAATCAGAATGAAAAGGAGAGAGATAGATGGAAAATAGGAGAAATAAGGACAAGAAAAATAAATGAATCTGAATAATACAATTTTCAGCAGGATAGAAGAGAAACAGTAGATAGAATGAAATCTTTAAAAAACATTTCCAGAACTGAAAGGCATATGTTTCCAATTTATAAGGGCCATCACATAACCAGTGGAGTCGATTAATGTAGATTCACACTAAGGCACATCCTCATGAAATTTTAGACAACTAGAGAGAAATAGAATATGGTGTAGTCTTCAAAGAGACAGTAAAACATGTTCCATATGAAATATTAAGCATCAGAGTAGCATCAGATTTCTTGATATCAACAGTTGAAGGTAGAAGAAAATAGAGTAATATCTTTAAAATCTTGAAGAAAAATTATTTCCAATCTAAACTGCTATGCTAGCTGAATTGTCAATATATTGTGAGTGTAGAATGAATATATTTTGAGATAGGCAAGTTGTCAAAAAATTTACCTCCTAAAGAAAGAATCTTGACTAGAAAACATGGTCAATTCAACTAAGTAATAATTTTTTAAAAGGGGCTACTTATAGGGACACCTGGGTGGCTCAGTGGTAAGCATCTGCCTTTGGCTCAGGGCATGATCCTGGAGTCCTGGGATCGAGTCCCCGAATCAGACTTCCTGCCTGGAGACTGCTTCTCCCTCTGCATATGTCTCTGCCTCTTTCTGTGTCTCTCATGAATAAATAAATAAAATCTTTAAAAATAAATAAATAAACAAATAAAAGGGGGAGTCTGCTTCCCCCCTCCCTCTCTCTATGCTCCTCCCCCTGCTCATGCACTCTGTCTCTAAAATAAATAAATAAATCTTTAAAAAAATCCTTCAATATTTTTTTTGGAGTGGGGGGTCTACTGGAAAGCATTCTCTCAGCCTTTGTCTATCTGAAAATGTATATATTTTATTTTCTCTTTGAGGGATATTTATGCAAAATTCTAGGCTGGCAGATACTTTTCTCTAATTTTGTTAAAGATATCCCTTTGCCTTTGGGTTCACTTTGTTTATTATGAGAAATTGGTGATATTCAGGGCACCTGAGTGGCTCAGTGGTTGAGCATCAGCCTTCAGTTCAGGTCATTATCCTGGGGTCCTGGGATTGAGTCCTGCATAGGAATCCCCACAGGGAGCCTCTTTCTGCCTCTGCCTGTGTCTCTGTCTCTGCCCCTCTCTGTGTCTCTCATGAATAAATAAATAAAAATCTTTAAAAAAAAAAAAGGAAATTGGTGATTTTCTTATTTCCACCCCCTGTGTGTGATGTCTATTTTCTTTCCCTCTGTTTTAAGATTTCCCTTTAACCTCCAATTTTCAACAATTTGATCATGATGTGTGTTTTCTTGTGTTTATCTTGCTTGCTATTCATTAATATTTTGGATCTCTGAGTTCATAATTTTCATCTTTTCTCCTAAAACTTTAATGATGCATCTATTAGATCATTTGGTGTTGTCCCACAGGTCACTGAGGCTCTTCATTTTTCTCAACCTTTTTCCTTTTGTGTTTTATTTTCAATAGTTTCCATTGCTATATCTTCAAGTTCTCTGATCTTTTTTCTGAAGTGCTTAATCTATTAAGTTCATTAATTGAATGTTTTATTTCAGAGATTGTATATATTCAGTGCTAGGTAATTGCTTTAGATCTCTCATTTTCCTCATTTTATGCATGTTTTTCTTTAAGTCTTTGATATAAGTAAGCAGATATATAAATTGTTTTAAATCCCTTGCCTGGCAATTCAATCAACTGTGTCATTTCTGAGTCTTAACATTGACTGATCTTTCCCCTGGTTATGGCTCACATTCTTATACCTCTTTGCACATACAATAACATTTTGTTGGATACTAAACATAGTATATGTTACATTTCTAAGTGTCTGGATTATGTTTTCTTTCTTTAAGGAGTGTTGGATTTCATCTTGGCAAGTAGTTAATTCTGATCAGCTTGACCCCTTTAAGACTCGCTTTTAAATTGTGGTGGGGAAGTCTGACAGTCATCTTTACGGTGGGGCTAATTTAATCTTACTATCAAGGTGTGGCTTTTCTAGTGTCTTTTGAATATCGAAGGGATCACCAACATCTCTCCCTTCTGACTAGTCAGAAATCAAATGTCTCCCAGGCCTGTGTGAGCTCTGTAATTTGTACAGGTCCCTGGTAATTGTTTTCTAACTGGTTTCATGGAGTTTTACTCTTTGCAAGCCCAGTTTAAGCCTTCGGCCAAAGACCCAGTAGATTCCCTATGCAGATTTCTGGTGCTCTTCTGGGTGGGCTTTTACTCTCAGGTACTCTTCTCCACAAAATTGCAGCTGCCTTGGCCTGCTACCTTTGTCTCCTCCACTTAAATTGCCATCTCCTGCCTGGGTTTTGCCTTTCTGGTCTGACAAGTGCCTCTGGGCAGAAAGTCATGGCAATCATAAGACTCCCCTCATTTGGTTTCTATCTCTCAAGGGTCATGATCCTGCCTTGCCTTTTTCCTAATGCCTGAAACTAATGTACTCATATGTTTTGTCTAGTTTTCCAGTTATTTACAGTGGGAAAGAAAATCTGTTACTCCATCATGTCCATGCTTGACTTTACATGCAATTGACTAATTTAATATTGTTCAATTTAGTTTCAAATACGGAAGTCTGGGGCAAACATATATCTGCAAGGCAATCTTGAATTCTAGGAAATTAAAATGTCGGACAGTTCATGGTTAGAGGTGAAGGAACATTCATATCTGCTTTCTCATCATAAAGAGCATGGGATTTTTAGAGACAGCTTTAAAATAGAAAACAGGATGTTGGTTTTATATCCTAATCACCCCTTAGTAGCTGGCCTTCCTCAGCCTCAGGCCAGAGAAGCATTAATTATGGACAGTGTCATTCTGTCCCACGTATTACAGACATAGGGACATTTGTCATGGGAACCCGGAAACAAGTTAGCATTAGAGTATCTTTATGAGAAACATGATGTTTCACACATGTACGAGTCACACACACCTCCTGTCCATCTTCCAAAGCTATGCTGTCTCCTCACTCCCATACCAAGTCACATTGCCAAAATTCCGGCCTACCTTCCCCAAACTATTTGGACAGAATATTTGTGTGTGTGTGTGTGTGTGTGTGTGTGTGTGTGTGTGTCTACACACACACATATTTAGACACACACAATAACATAGTAGCAATCCTTATTTTCCTCCAACAGCATAGACCTCTTTAAAGTAAGAGATGTTTAAGGAAAAGGGAGGTGACTGTTGTCTCTTGTATCTGTCTCGTCTACTTATATTAATCTCTATTTCTCCTCAGCATGGTATTCTAGTTGGCCTTTGTCACTCCAGAGAGAGGAAGAAGATGTAAATTGTGGGCTTGATAGTGATATTGTACGTGGGAGGCAAGAGGATGCTGGGAGAGACAGACTTTGAAGCAGAACAAACTTACCTGAAAATAAGTCGTTCCTTTTGTGTAGATTGTTGCTGTTTTCCGTTGTTGCTGTGAGAGAATCAACTATTCAGATTAACGATGCTTTGCTGTGCAACAGAACCCTTGGACTGCACAGACTTGTCTATTTAAAGTAAATTGAGCAGAAGCAATTCTTGGCACCGACCTTTATAAATACGTGTCTTGACTCATTCCTGCCCCTCTGCTGCCCCTCTGTGGCCGTTCCATTGTGTCTTCACGTCTCAGCGCATCAGGCCCTTCCTTCCCAGCCCCCAACTTCCTTACCGTAGTTTCCGAAGCCAATTCAAAGTCCTGCCCAACTAGCACTTTCAAAACATCTCCTTAGAGCAACAAAACGCTACAGCAAAGTGGGAGACTGACAAACGAACTTGACAAGGTCTCTGTCACCTGGACCTGGCACATCTCATCCTCCTCCCGCAGTGGTCCATAGCATCTCCCGCCAAGCAACCTGCCTTCCCCCAAACACAAGCCTCCTGCTTTGGGCACACACCTTCGGTATGCTCCAGTCCTGGCACAACGAATGCTCTCTATTTCCTCCTCACTATGCGTGCTTCGTGTCCTTTCCACCCCTTGAGGCCCCCCTGGACCCTCTTCCCCTAGGAAACAGACTCCAACCACTTTCTAACACAAACAGTATCTCAGCACCTACCGAGCATTTGTCAGCACAAAGTGTTTCTATGTAATTTGAACATGTATCGGGTGCCAAGAACTTAAGTTTGGATAATCTCCTAATAGAGAAATAATTCCTTATACTTAATAAGGTATTTATATTTTTATTATCAACTTCATTAGCATATAGTATTCCATAAGCAGGAATCTTTGCTTAAGTGTCTGCCTTGTTGGAATGAAATAATAGAAGACAATAGGATTTAAGCCCCAGGTTTGAATGCAGGCTCATTCACTGGGTGTGGACTTCAGTTTAAAGGGCTAATCATGCTACTCACCCTCATAGTTGTTCCGAGGCTGAACAGAGATAATACATGGAGAGACTTAACGTGAACTAAACAGAGTAACTTTTCTATAAAGATTGGCTCTTAGGAACAGTAATTACTATTGTAGCTACTCATCTCTCTAGAAAGAAGGCGAAAGATTTATAAGCTAACAAAGCTTAATTTTTCACTGTGTATCAAATGCTAGTGAATTTGCAGATTATCTCAATTTGTTATCACCTATAGGTCATATCTTTTGTTCATTTTCTCTTGGTTAATATAATTTTGTTTTGAATTTTTAAAAACCAAGATTTTGAATTTGCTTGAAAGAAATCTATCACTGCCTTTATCTTCTAGTTAAGCTTATCTGAGAAAGCAACCAAATTCCCAACTAAACAGGCATACTCAAGAAAAAAAACTCCATTTTCAACTGAGTTTACAAAATAATTTTGTATTGTAGTGATCCATTTAGGCTAACGTTATTCTTTTTGGTTATATTTTTCTGAAAGTAAAAATAATGTGTTTCTATTGTAAGTAGTTTGGAAATATGCAGCTAAGATTGAAAAGCATCCAGTGATTGCACAATTCAGAGCTAACCCTTCAAATATCGGTGATTGTGGTATCTTTTTATTTTCTCTCTAAACCAGTGCTGTCCAATAGTACTTTCTGTGACAATGGAAATGTTCTCTGGTTATCCACTATGAGAACCATTAGCCACAATAAAGATGCTATAAAGCATCTGAAATGTAGTGAGAGCAACTGAGGAACTGAAGTTCTAATTGTATTGATTAATTTAGATTTAAATGGTCCCATGTAGCTAATGGCCACCATATTATACAGTGTGGCTCTAGGAGGATATTTTTATAATGTTGAGAACCTTATAAGGGGAGCATTTTCCATTATTAGGAAATCATGTCAACACATGATTTAAATGGCACCTTATTTCATTCTATGGAAGTATTATTAATGCAAACCCTCCCTAATTATAAGGCAATTAGGTATTTTCCATTTGGAAATAAGTTTCCTCTTGTAAAAAAATCTGCAGTAAATTGCTTTGTAAATAAATCTTTATCATGATTCATAATTAGTTCCTTAAGATAGATCCAGAAAGAGAAAATTACTAGGCAAAAAGATAAGAATCACTTTAAGGCTCTTTGACACATACTATTAAATTGTTTTCCTGAAAAGTTGAACCCATTTTACTCTTACCAACAACTTCTGAAGAGTGCCTATGTCATCGCACCCTTGTCAACATGGAACATTACCTATCTGTCAAAAATCTTTGTCTCATTGACAAATAAAAATGATACCAAATGGTGTAGGCTTTATGTCTTTGATTGGTGGTGTTGATGGGCAGAGAGATGGACTGCCCAGATTCCCCTAAGGGGAAGATGTCTGGTTCCAATGGCATCTGTGTGATTCATAGACAGCCTACCTGACGCCTCCTTTAGGATTCTCTTAGCTGCAGAGGACTGCCCCCATCTAACATTGTGCCCCTCTTGGGCAGTCTACATCCAGGGACTGAGTGAGCAGGAGTCATAAAGACTTAGCCATTTGGACACAACTTGGGCAACTTCGATGGGCCTACATCACAACTGGACATCTCCATCTGCCCAGTCCTGCTTCGGCCCCCTTTCTTTCACAGATATGGATCTCTAATAAATACTCTGCACCCCAAGCCCATGTCTGTATTTTACTTCTGAAGAACACACCATGCAACAAAAGTGATGTTGACTTTCTATTTATTTGCCTTTTCCATCATGTTTGCATTGAGCATTTTGAGCCCACTTCTGGGCAAGCAGGAAAGAATACTGAGACCTATGAATTCACTTGCAATCAGAAGATCTGTTATGTCTGAAAACCACAGAAAAATAACAGACTAATGGGCCTGACATAAAAAAAAATTGCATATGAAAAACTACCTTGGATAGAATTTTTTTTAATGCACACATTGGAAAGTTAAATAGACAAGTTTAATATTTACCTATAAAGAGATCATATGTGTCAAAGTAACCCAAGTAGAGAAAACATTGTACTGTCCTCTTGTGTATTTCTTTAGGACACAAAAAACATTCCCCTCCTGTGTCTATTCTAAACATATTTCCAAAAACTCTTTAGGATTGAAATTTCAAGAAGCCAAAATGTGGCTATTCTAGAAATAAAAATTTTTAAGAAAAATTCTTTGATTTGTGAAGAAGCTCAACAAAAATAAGAATATAGCTTAAAGCTTTTCCCACCCTCCTGTTCCAAAAAAAAAAAAAAAAAAAACAGTGAGAAAAGTGAAGGAAACCTGAGCAGGGCTTCCCCTCAGATAAGTCTCAGCTAATATTATATTCCTCTCTCTCTCACAGCCTTGATCACAGATGATCTCACAGATGCAATTCTATGTGCCAAGAAAATTGCTAAAGAGACAGAAGGGATGAACTATTGGTAAGAGGCTTTCCTTGAGGGACTTTGGCTGACATGGCCAAAACCGACGGTGCGTCCATTCATCACAGCTACAGTGGGCCCTGGCACACTCACCTCTGCGGAGAGGTCCAATGATGTTACTGTGACCTTGTCTGTACCCTTCCCCAGGAGTGGGTGGGTGTCCAGTGAACAGGGCAAAAGGGGCTTCGAAGCGGAGGAGAGACAGTATGGGCCATGGTGATTTGCCATTGCTTTTCACAGTAAGGTATTCCAAACAACAGAGCAAGAGGTGCTTTCTGATGTGAGTTGCTGGTGAAGGCAATGCACCAGAGGGAAAAAGCATGAGTTTGCTCTCCCCTTGGACAAAATTTTGGAGGATTAGGGCAACATTTTGTGGGGAGACAGAACAGACAGCAGTGAGAGAAAAATGACCATGCCAGTTACACCATACATTAGCGGGAAAGTTCCCTAGGACAGGGCAGAGACACAGTTTCTGTGGCTCGCTGTGATCTGAGGCTGGGTTTCCTGTGAATATAGGTAATCAGGTCACCCACATGGGGAACCCACATTTTCAGAGGCAAAGGTGTTTAACTAAATGACTCATCCTTATATGAGTTGTTTACTATTGCTGAAGCTATTAAGGACTCGGAGTAAAGAAGAGAAAAATCTTAAGGCAAAAGGATAGAGTCCTTGGATCTCAGAAACCAAACTTAATCCTGGGTGCCCCTGGTTGTTTTGGTTAATTACCTATGGTTTGAACCTATGAATATTTGGATTGTCATGCTTCTTTCTGTTGCTCCTGCTTCCCTTTCCTCTCCAGGCAAGGCTGGAAGAAACACTGTGAAGGCAAGGACCTGTCTGAGTGGAAAAAGGGATGTGAGGTTTCATGAACTGGAACCGGACCCAGGATGCTCTGCAATCACACCCGAGGATTTGTAATAAGTTCAAGTGTTCATGTCACCTTGTCCTCCTTCCCTCCCAATGTTCCTTCTCAAAGTTAGAGAGGGAAAATTATGTTATAGTTTTAAGGAAATAAATATTTCCATTTAAGTATCTTTACTTCACCCTGACTCTGTTTAAGTGATGTCATAAAAGCACTGTGGTGAGATTAGGAAAGTCACCTGCAAAATGTTCTAGCCTCAGAAAGAACAAACCTCCTGTCTTAATTACTGGCTCCTGTGGTCCTGAAATGGCTTCTCTTTTAAAAAGAAGACTTCTAGGGTGCCTGGGTGGCTCAGTCAGTCAGGTTGTGATCTCAGGGTCCTGGGATCAAGCCCCGTGCTGGGCTCCACACTCAGTACAGAGTCTGCTTGGGGTTCCTCTCTCCCTCTTCCTCTGCCCCTCCCCCTGTGCATTCTCTCCCTCAAATAAACAAATCTTTAAAAAAAAAAAAAAAAAGACTCCCAAGTCAAGGAGAGCAGTAGATGAATGGCCATAGTCTTTTGACCTCTTTCCTGAAGCATTTGGTCATTCTTCTCTTGGTCAGCAGATACACAGTCCTGCCTCAATTTACCACTGCCAGAGAGAATGTTCCTGTGAGATCTAGGCAATCCTGATGGACATGGAATGGAAATAAGTGGGTGAAGTTGCAGCTCTCATCTCTAATGTTAAGAGAGTTCCTCGTGTTCCGACATCGATTTAAATTAAATCTATCAAATTCAAAACTAACATCATCATGGCAAAATTGCTTCCAGCCTTAGACCTATAGATTCTATGTGTAACACTGAGCTGAGGAGCTCAGATCCCAAAGAGCTGTTATCAGAATGCCCTCTGCTTCACAAAGGGATGGCCCACATGGCAGGGCAGCTCTGCTCTGCTGAGTTTTTTCTCCTCTTCCCTGTCTTGCTGGGCCAGAAGTGGTTGAGGCTGCCTTTACTGCAACTTTACATGGAAAGCTCAAGTTGAATGCAATCTGGCCTCAAGAATGCACTAAATTAAGGTTTGTTAAAGAAATGGTTATGCCTACAAATACATTTCCCACTTAGAAGAAAGTCCCCACTGGTCAGACTGATGGGTTTTGTGATAGCACCTAACTGACCCATAAACACTCTGTAGTTGCCAACTGCCTGGGATCTCCTGTTGGTTCGTTTCACATCCTGGCTTCACTTGCAGGCATAGTCTTTAAAAAATCTGAACTACTACTTGCCAAAAGAATATAAACATTTCATATGTGTCTAAACAAACATAAGCCAGTGACAATTTAACAGGCATTACAAATCATGGAAAAACAGCATTTGAGACTTGTGGAAGAATTGAAAAAAAAAATCTGTAAGATGGCTGAAGAAAATGTGAAAAATGTGGAATCCATCAAGTTGCACTAAAAAAAAAATTGTGCTTCTGGAAGTCCATAAATATGCATCTTTCATTATTATTGTCCTGTTATCCATCTGCCTTGCTGCCTCCCTTCTTAGTCAAACCTTCATTAAATCAGTGATACCATGTTCATGACCTAGGTTGGCATGGGACCTGGCACCAGCTGTGCAAACACTAGGGGAAGATTAAACAAACAAACAAACAAACAAACAAACAAACCACTCAACTCCAGAAAACGAGTGCTTTGAAGCTACAAGTGAAGAGAGGTTGGCTGGCCCTATAATTTGATCTATCTTTTCACAAAATTCATAACATTTCTAAGCATGTAATCCTATCCTTTCTGACCCTGAATGTTTCGTTTGTTTAGTATTTCCATAAAGATTAAGGATAAAAAAAATTGTTGTCCTGCATAATTTTCCACAATTAATGCTCTCAGAAATTCAAGAAAAAATATTACTCCTGTTCCTGAGCTATCTTTATTTAACAAGGGTATCTTGAAATAACAACTGAAATGTATATACCCTCTGACAGTTTCCAAGATATCTGGAAACAGATTTTCAGTTTTTCCTCACGGGCAATTGATCAGCAGCTTACCAGATGGCATGGCACTGAGAAGACAGGTGGATGTTAGGGTTTGGAGTACTGCTAGGGTAGATATGTTCTTTCTTTGGAGACTCAGTTCTACCTGGCTTTTGGGACCCTTCCCCTGGTGTCTGCCCCTATGTACCCCAGCTCCTTCTCTGTCATTCTTCAATACTTCCTGTCTGGTTCAACCATTTTTTCTTGATGCCTCCTGAGCCCATATACCATGTCCCGTTGGGTGTCTTTGCTCCTGGTTTTTCCCAAATCTGGATGACCGTGCCACTTCCCTATAGCCTCTTCAAGCCCCACTCAACCTATAGGAAGCCTCTCTAGTCCACCGGCCTCCTAACAGTCTCTTCTCTATGGTCTTTCCCAACTGGACACGTATGGGATCATAGAAGGAATACAAACAAGATCTTGTGTTTGGAATATTTTTATTTTCAAATCAGGTTCACATCCAATACTTTAAATGCTCCTCACAACATCCTTGGGAAACAGCATAACATAATCTTCACTTTATACAGAAGATACTCATTTTAGAAAGGGTGACTGTCAAGATCCATTGTGCCACGGTGGGGGATCCAGGGTAACCCTGCCACCCTTAGGAATCCTCAGAACTCAGTGAGAGAACAGTAGCCTATTTTCTTTAGGGATAGGGAGTGCCTGAGCCCCTCATCTGTGTTTGTCACCCACTTCTTTGAGTACCCCTGTCTGTACAAACATCAGCCAGGCCCAGAAAGATCTAGGGAAAAAAAAGAGTAGGAAACACTCTCACCCAAAATTTTTCTCTCTCTCTCTCTTTTTTTTTTTTTTTTTTTTGTATCACTGCATTTTTTTTTTGTATTTTTTTTATTGGAGTTCGATTTGCCAACATATAGCATAACACCCAGTGCTCATCCCATCAAGTGCTCCCCTCAGTGCCTATCACCCAGTCACCCCACCCCACCCCCCACCCACCTCCCTCTCCACTACCCCTTGTTGGTTTCCCAGTTAGGAGTCTCTCATGGTCTGTCTCCCTCTCTGATATTTCCCACTCATTTTCTCTCCTTTCCCCTTTATTCCCTTTTACTATTTTTTATATTCCCCAAATGAATGAGACCATATAATGTTTGTCCTTCTCCAAATGCCTTACTTCACTCAGCATAATACCCTCCAGTTCCATCCATGTTGAAGCAAATGGTGGGTATTTGTCGTTTCTAATGGCTGAGTAATATTCCATTGTATACATAGACCACAGCTTCTTTATCCATTCATCTTTCGATGGACACCGAGGCTCCTTCCACAGTTTGGCTATTGTGGACATTGCTGCTAGAAACATCGGGGTGCAGGTGTCCTGCGTTTGATTGCATCTGTATCTCTGGGGTAAATCCCCAGCAGTACAATTGCTGGGTCTAGGGCAGGTCTATTTTTAACTCTTTGAGGAACCTCCACCTAGTTTTCCAGAGTGGCTGCACCAGTTCACATTCCCACCAACAGTGTAAGAGGGTTCCCTTTTCTCCGCATCCTCTCCAACGTTTGTTGTTTCCCGTCTTGTTAATTCTCACCATTCTCACTGGTATCTCACCCAAAATTTAATCTCTTCAAGGCAAATTAATGAAATAAAGACTTCATTAGAGACCCAGAAAGATTTCCTGTGTTCTTCCAAAAATAGATGGAAAATGTTCTAGATTTCTAAAACTTGAAATGAGAAACATGCATTGCTTTTCCCAACCAAAAGATTTACAATTTGCCATTTAAAACATGAAAATTATTTCTTCCAGTGGCCAAAATGGCCACTCCAAGCCCACTTCCCCAGAGTCAGGGGTTCTGCATTTCCTCTGTGGGGCCCCTAGACTGAAGAGGACACACAGCCAAGGAAGCGCTCTGGCCATGAGCATCATCCAGGGCAGCTGCTCCATGGAGCCTCCAGCTATTGGAAGTTCCACACATGCAATGGTCAGGGGCTGGAAATTCCCACAGCTTGTTTGCACGGGAGCCTTTTCCCTGGGGGGGGTGGCTTAGGATCCAGGAGTCAACCTGACATAGCAGAATCATCTGGAACACAACAGGGCCCCCTGAGGGACCTCAGACAATATAGGTGACTATGTCTCTCCCTCATTTTTCTTCCCTCTTATCCAGTTGGTTCACGGTGCAGGAGGACGGAAAAGAGAAACCAGTCTCAGTCACAGACACAGCAAGCACGTCTGTTTAATCTGATCCTCCTGTAACAGCACAAAGAGGGGAAACAGAAGGTCAGAAGCAATAAACAGTCTCACAGAAGAGGGGAAGGCAAAAGAGAGACAAAGACGATATTTTCTTACACGAGGCTGCAACTCCACCAACTTTTGCCACCAGGGCCCCCTTAACTGATGGACAGCCCAAACCCAACACCGCGTCTTGATCAGGGACGTTTGCCTCGCCTTTGTTCTAGTAACTGTATCAGCTGGGCTCTGATTATAACCAGAATACATATTCGTTGTGGAACATATAGAAAATATTTTTCCAAACAGTAAAAATTTTCTCACCAGTCGACGATTACTGCTATTAATACTCTTGGCTTTTCTCCCAGTTTTTTTTTCTTCTATTTTTTATAGACTTGGACTCAGAGTTTTAATTTTGTAAACTGATCTTTCCACTTGACATACCGCACGATTTCCCCCAATTAATATTTGCTAAAATACGGTGCCTACAAACAGCAGCACAGTGGCTATGCTGCTCCATAATCCCTTTACTCTGTCCTCCTTTTGTTGTGTAGTTGGCCCGACCAGCAACATTTTCAGGCCTGGGACTCTAGGCCAAGTTCTTTCTGGAAAGGACTCTTTCTTTTCTCACTGCTTATTCTCCTCCAGACTTCACTGAAAGCCCTCAGTACATGATTTTTATGGGGCCCATCTTTCCATGGACTCCTTGCCTACTTTGGGGAGAACCTGAATCGAGACTAGAAATAGACTGGACCATGTTTTCCATTGTCTGCTATTTGGGCCAACATTGAGAAAAAAAAAAAAAGCCCGTATTG